GATTTTCGGTTTTGTTTAACGAAAAAATTAAAGAGCTCTTGTAAAAACAACGGACAATTTTCTTTTTCTCCAAGAAAAGTAAAAATTTACTATCAGTGCATTGGGGGAAATAATATTCAAGCAGTTTTAAACAATTGGAATTATTATGTAAATGAAAAATATCATTATTAATATACATTATTAATATATTAAATATCATTATTAATAAGTAATGATATTAAGTTAATAACATTTCAGAACGATATTTCTTAATTAGGCAAATAATCGCGTCATTATAGTGTTAGTTCAGGTTCAAAGCAGAATGTTTTATTTTTGTGTTGTATATATGTATGTAGCTAAAGCTAAAATATTTTAACAAAGCACAAAAACTGTCACATAAGCACACACGCTATCGTTTTGGTTCTATGAAGAACTTTCTTAAGTGCAGAAACACAGAATAAGATTTTCCATTATGAGCTAAAACGGTCGTATATTCGTTTCTGTTGCATAGTTTGTGCTCTTTTATTTAATAAACTTATATGAATATATTTAAATTTTAACGTAATCGTCATTTCTGTACAAGAAATAATAACAATAATATATTATGAATCAAATTCTATCGACATCACGTAACTTCCCGAATTCACATCTGCTAGGCTTCCCGATAAGCCTTACTGTCCATTCCATTGCCTGTCTCACAAGTGATACATAATCAGAATTATTGTGAATGAATACAGAGCCCTCTATTAGTCACGCAGAAATTAGTAACAGATGGTTTATTATTCTCAAGAAATTGTAAGTTTCCCAATCATTAAGAGTCTGGTAATCTTTTGTTTGTTTTTATTAATTTGCATCTTTTTTGTCAGACTTAGTTTGTATTTTTTAAGCGCGTAATGACGATTGAGTTCAGCACTCCAGACTCTTGAGATTTTGATCTCAAAATTCAATCATTTTCATGTTTTCAGTAAGTTTTCAGATTTTTTTTAAAGTATAACGAAAAACGATTTGTTTTATTTGTTAGATCGATTTATCTTCGTAAGAGTATCCCATTGTAAAATGTGAGTTGTAAATTGTAACAATTTAATCTATTCATTTGTTTTGTTAAATTTTTTGTTTTAACATTTTTTAGTGTTTCCTTATTTGACCCTTTCCGAATTCCGGGCAAATGTTTGTCCGGTCACTGGTAGAGGTTTTAATGGTCTCTCTTAATGGGTTTCTTTAACGCAAATTCTATGGAAAAATTTCCATGCCTCCCAAAAGTGGTGGTAAATAGAGGTGATCGCTACATAGAGGTGGTCTTTCCTGGAAGTCTCTCTGTATAACTTTGATTACATATTCTATAGTTTTAATATTTGTGCACTATATCCGTAAAGTATTACTATATTTCTTAATTATTATTTCTTAATTATTAATTATATTTCTTAATATTATTAAGTATTTACTATATTTCTTAAAACGCATGTAAGTTTTTCTTATCAAGTTTCTTCTTTTTGTTTAGAATTATTGTTCCATACAAAAAAATGACCCCTTTTACGACTGAGATTTTTTTTTCCTTCTTTTTCTCTTTTTGCACAATCTTCTAACTTTCTCTCTATCTTTGTAGTGGATATTAGGAATGTAAAAGTGCGGAAGTGTGAAAAGATAGTCATTAACATAATTTCAGAAATCTTTCAGCCACTTTGCATCTCCAACTCCGGAAATTTGAAGTGCAGTAGATGGATATGGGAAAAGGGGTTAAGGAACGGATAAAGGGGGAGAAAGCAAGCAAATAGATACTATTTTGTTACATTTCGAAAAGAAAAAGGAACGGAAAATGAGGAAAGAGAGGAAATATTTTAATAAGGTAACATTTCCGCGAAACTTCTATTAGGGTTGCCACATTTTTTTTTCATTCATTTTACATATCGCCAACCTAACATACCTTTCAACCAGTACAATTCATTTTGTTCTTTAATTAATTTTTATTTTATATTTCATAATGATTTGTCTTAAAAACTTTAAAATGATAATATTAAAATATTGCACGATAAATGACCAAAATAGGTTGAATATACTGTAGGTTAGTACTGTTATTTTAACTATGTTGAATTAATCAAAAAGGAATGTAAGTGCAAAAAGTACTAGAATTAGAGTATTTTCTGTAAATAACGAATTTTAAGAGTAGTCAGGAACCAAATTAAACGTTGTTGCAAATGTAATTTTTAAGTATTCTTTGGTTTGTTCAAGTTTTTTAACGATTAAATCCCGAAAAATTCCAAAATCATATTTTGGAATTGTTTTTGCTTAGCATAGTTTATTGGTCATTATATGGCATTTTACAGATCTAGTACATTTCACAGCTGATTTCAGATTTTAAGTGATAATTTTGATTGGTCATTATTATTATTTTTTTTTATCAGATTTAATAACAGTAGTATCTACGAAGTAACTTTTTAAGCAAAAAATAAGAACCACAGCATATTTCTAATTGTGAACTATACTCAGAAAACAAGACTACTTCACATAACAAGAGTATTTGTTGGGAATACCGTAATGGTGACACCTAACCAGCATTCAACCCTGCTCCTATGCCCCTAATGAAGGAATTCTTCGATAAAGCCAAGTGGTGCAGATGTTAATAAAATAGTATAGTTTCATAATTTATAGGCGTGCATTGTTATGTTATGTTCCCCCAAAAATTTATACCCTGATTACTTTTCCAATTATTTCTAACACGTCTGCTTTCGATTTGATGAATTTTTGAAAATTTGAATTTTTAGTTCCATTTAAGAAATTTGCTTGTTTAAAAATAAAGACATTACTTTGGTTTACGAAGGAAATTTAAAAACCTACACTGTAAAAAACTCTGTAAATCTTTAACCAGTATTTGGTGTAAAGTTTCTCATTATCCCAGCATTAATTAAAGTTCATTTCTTTTATGTTTCCTTTTTAAATTTGGTTGGCGGTATAAAATGGTTAGATGTATGTCATAAAATAACCTACTTACGGTAAATAGTTTAGTTACGGTAAATAGCTACCTTGATCTGCATTTCAGCGCTTTAAAAATACCTAATAATGGTGCAATTTTCCTCTGCTTTTATAAAAGAAGAATGAGAAAAGGTGTTTTGCTTCTTCAAAAGACCTATTTTTGGTGCAACCTTCTTCTGATATTTGGAACTAGTGAAAATACCAAAATATGGTAAAATTGATCTCCATTTTATGCAGCCAGCTAGTGAAAACCAATTTTTGGTGCTCCGTGACTCGGAATTTTTTACAGTGTATAGTTATAAAAGCTTCTCAAAATACCAATATGCACGAATAAATAGTTTAACTATTCGACGAGACCATACACATTAGTGCATTCGAAATTGATTCTAAATTTAGTATATTTTCCCTATAATTGAATTACATGCAGAATTTCCACTTTTAAGAATGGGTATGTTGTGGTAGGGCTGTCTCGCCAAATGTGGAGAATGGCTTTTATCCACTATAGAAAAGGCGCGTCTTTTACGAGGGGTCGTAAAAGGCGGTCGTGAAGGAGTTTACGAGGCGGTTGATGGCAGCGATCGCACGCCAAGTCTGATGAAGAGCTTTTCACACGAGTTTTCATTTTGTGTACTTTGCTTTTAATGAGGCCCCGCTGCCCCTTGTTATCTGTTACACTCCCCCCCCTTCTTTCAATACAAGCCCCCTCATCCAGATTAGCCCAAGAGAGATCAAATCTTGCTTCCAAATTGAGGTGGATTTAAGAATAAGGAGACTATAGTTGAAAATGAAAGAACTTTTTTTTTTCATGTTGGAAATATGCCTTTGAAATGTATTTCTATTTTGGACGCCTTCTTTTTTCCCTCTTTATCACAGTAAGTTAATAAACTTCTTTCTTTCTTTCTTTCGATTTTATTTCAAAGTGGTTGGCAAGTACAGAACAAAAAAGGTGTTTTTTTTTTTTTATAGAATTGAGTATTCAAATATGTGTAGAACCCATCAAATAAATGACAGTTGCATAAGAAGACTCATTATATGTGAAGCAAACTTGTTTAAAGAAAAAAGTAAATATTACTTATGTCTTATTCTGTTTTTTGTAACATAGATTGCCTGTTGGGAACGCTGTAGTGAACCAAAAAAAAATTTTTTCTCATCCATATTCCCCTAAGTGAAGGATTGGATTTGTAATTTATCTACCTGTTGTAAATTTTATAATTTGTTTGTAATAACATTCACTTATTATTTGCTAATTCTTAGTTGATATCGATTCCTCGATAGTAATGGAATTAAAAGTTTATATATATATATATANATTTTTATTACTATTGTTTTTTCACTAAAAAGGATCAATATGACTCATCTTTCTGTAGTTTTTAAAAATGACACTCCATGCAATTAAAAATTACTTCAAAAATATAAACTATAACTTTGACTACACAAATAAATCGGTTGTAAAACTATTATATTGCAATATTGTTGTCTGATATATATATATATATATATATATCCGTATATACAAAGATTCAATCTTCGGTGTTTGAGGAGTATCTTTGAAATATACCAATTATTTAGCTAATAACGAAGCACTCAGGCGCACTTTTTTTAGATCAACATACCTTTTTCAGTCGGATTTTGATTTTTGGCTGTAAAGAATAGTGAGAAAAAAACCGCAATCGAATATTTTAGTGAGGATGGCTCTTAAATTTCGGTCAGGAGAACAGTGAAAAAGTTTGAATTCAATTGGGCTATTTTTATCTTTAGCAAAGTTTGACATGTTTTTGGAACTGATTGTTATTCTTTGCGCACTGATTTATAAACATGCAAAAAATATTTTTGAATTACTTTTTAACTACTTTTTTTCTGTTTATGGAGTTGTAATAAACCAAAAAAAAATATTTAATCTTAAGGAATATCCATAAAGCAGTTACTTTAAATCTCGACAAAATTCCATNGGGGGGGGGGGGGGGGAATTTCAATTCCGTCTCGAATGCAAGTTTTGGACAGATAAACTGAAAAAAGGACGATTTAATCTAGAAATTCCATTCAAGGAAACTTACCTTTCTCTATATTGATTTGCCTCTCTTGTTGGCGAGCATTATCTGCGGCCACTTTCAAGAGACCTTGTATGTTTCTGAGGAGTGTCTCAATGGATGAAACCACTTGACCAGTTGGAGATCCTCCGTCCACAGCCAGATGACTGAAAGGAAACATTTGACTAGGGGCCAATCTCTCACCATTTGCTGTACTACTCACGTCAGGATGATCACTAAAATCTGAAGGCATCAGTGAAACAAAATATATTAGTTATATATTTATAGAATTGCTGTTATGACTAACACATTTCTTTCCAACGAAAAAATTATTCACACTTTTAAATGAAATAGTCTTCTTTTTTATCCTTGAAAAATGAACTTTAGCATTACTTATAAAGAAAAGAAAACTTTAAAAGGTTCTTATTATCTCATACATCTATGAGTAATTGTGAAAGCAACTCATGTCAAGATTTAAGGAAAATATATAGTTGTCTTTAAAAATATTAAATTTCTGGCAATTTTCAATAAAGAGGAACACACTTGCTTTCTTAGAATCAATGTTCGGTCACCAACTCAGAAAATTGGATTCTGTTACATTTTCCTAGACATTTAAAAATCTAATTTCTGATGTTTGGAAATTTTAACACCGGTATCTTTAATAAAATGCAAAACAACTTAAACCAAAAATAAAAACTCGTATGTAGGTGTTAGAAATGAAATACAAGTTTCAATTCAAAATATCATTACAAAGTCTATTAACATAATGAATATTTTTGTTCGTAAAAAAAATTAAACTATTTCAGATTTCTGCCTTTTGCGTTGTCATGTTTCTTTTTAAAAAAAAAACCGCAACACTTTTAAATACAGTTTTAAAACGAAAAAAATTTTATATTATGACAGAATTCATAAAATATATTATGACTGAAAAGTAATATTATGACAGAATTATCCTTTTCTTCGTCTAACCTTGATCTCGGTCATCATCGTCGTCATCGCTGTAATCGTCGTCTGCTCCGTCATTGTATGGTCCTTCACTTCCACTACCCTCTGCACTGTGGAGTCCAACACCCCCTCCTCCACCTCCCCCGCCACCTCGACTGCTATTTTGGGAGAGATTTAAAACGGGGCTATGGCCACTATTGCCGGTACCTGCAATTCAATTTTCAATTAATAAACTATCTTTTCATTAATTTTCAGAGTTGGATTACTATGTCTAGTAAATTAAATCTAACTAAAGGAAGGTATTAATAACAAGGATGCCAACCAGCTTTTCTGTTTTGCGAATCTATGTATATTTGTGTAGTTTACTACAGTAGTATTCTTTGATCCTTGAGTCGATGCTTCAAGAGTGAAATAATTTCAAAACACACTAGGCTTTAATATTTTTAAAAATATAGAACTATACTTGCTAACTGTATCCAACAGCTATACAACAAATGTTGATAATGAGTTCGTGATTGATGGATTTGAATGCTGTTAAAAGTATTTTGTTTGCATCATTCCTCTATTTTATGAAATCATTCAACGAAATTTTTCACGTGGTTCTTGTAAATTGAGAGGATAAATAAAAAGCAATCGGAATACTGAATTCTTCTGTAACTTTTAAAAGTTCAAAACCCATAGAAATTAAGAAAAGTCAACGATAATTACAGAAAATCAGTTAAAATCAATAAAAATTAAAAGAAAATGATTGAAAAAATATATGATGAAATTACGAAATGTCTGCGAAAATTATAAATTTGACGATACCATGGAAATTAGGAAAAAATTTGCGGAAATTTCAGAAAAATCAGTCGAAAAAATTGCTTGTTGGCATCCATAAATAAAAACTGATTAAAATTTTTATCAGTTTTTTTTAGACTTACCATTGACGTAGCTATCTTTCTGCCTAGACACATCATAGTAGAGTCTATCTTTACCATCCGATGCATCAACCCGATCATCTCTTAACCTGAAATAGGACTTGACTTTATTCACCAAATCAAGGTAGCTAGAACATAATAATACCACTTCTATAGAATAATAAAGGAAAGATAATCGCAAAACAAATTAGTAAAAATTATAATAATACTGTAAGATGTTTCAAGCATAAATTTAATTTTATTACTGCAGAAGAATTAGTTACTGCTATAATACATTGTGTATTAACGTCTGTTACAAATTGTTAACAAAACCATAGAAACGTAAAAGCTTTTAGACATTTTATTTCATTTTTATTCGCTTTATAATATGCTGAAATCCATTGTCCACACCTTGGCAGTTTTACTTTACACATAGTGTGCAACATAAACTATGCTAACGTAAAGTTATATATTAACTCTAATTATTAGTCTTCAAATTTCTGGAAAACATTTAATTTGAAAAATGATTCCTAACACAGTCAGAATACCTCATTATACACGCAATAAAACACTTATTTTCAAGCCATACAGTCGGAATGTTTGTTAATTATGGCGAATAAATTGGCGCACTTTTCCAAGAAAAAGAATCTCGTTTGCGGAAAACCCTTCTTACCGATTCCTGATTCCAGGAGACAAAAGAAAGCGAGAAGATCGGGAAAGGAGATAAATAGTGAGTTGAAAAGTCAGGAAATCCGAAAAAGAACGAAATGTTTCTGTCATTATCTCATTTGTTCGATGTTCTCTCTCTGTTCTTAGTCCTACTTAATTTGCATACCCTTTTAATGAAACGACTCTCTCTCTCCATTTCGGTTGAACACTCCTTTTCCTGCCCCAAAGGACGGGTGATTAATGAAATCTCGGCAAATGTAATTTTAAACGAGTAATTTTTCGCGCCTCTTTTCACTTTTCCACTATGCCGACTGTTTATTCAGAAGAAGAGTGGAATATTGAAATTCGCGGAAGGCTACTGGAATGAAAATAATTTATTCCGTCAAAAAATACTTCTCTCAGCAAAATATGTTTTTTTTTATGCGGTTCATTTTCATAATTACTTCTTATTAATTAATGACAGAAAGCATTTTAGAGACTTTAATATTTCCGTACCCATAAAAAAAATTCTTTTAATTGGAAATAGAATAAATTAGAAAATATGTACACTGTAAAAAGTTTCTGATAAAATTACGGTAAAATTCTATGGTACAAAATAAATTTTATGTACCTTAATTTTTAATATTTACTGACTCACTGTAATTAAATAAATATAACTGTAAAAGGGTATGGAATTAAATTTTACGCTAAAAAGTACTGGCACTGCTGGTATTTTTGCTGTAATTTTATCAGGAATTTTTTACAATGTACTTATACAAAGGCAGTAAATGAACTCATATTGAAATTTAGTTCATATCATTGCGGATATCCCTTATTTTATTTATTTCTTCCCCAAACTGAAATATAATAATAAAAAATTATGTTCATTTTTTACGTCAATAAAACAAAAATATCTCAAAGTTAGTCTTTATTGATTGCATTTGCTGTGTTGATGTCTTCGTTGGTAAATGAGGCATCAAATACGGTTGGATAAAATTAAATGAATAATTAGGAATAGGAATGATTAGGATTAAGTCCTTACAAAGTCACTCCTATCATGAAATTAATTAAAAGAACAATTAATTATTATTTTATGAATTGACGATTCCTCAGATTTAATCAGGCAAAAAAATTAATAAAAAATTGAAAAAGAAAGATAGACCAGACTAAAAATATATTTACAGGAGAAAAGTAGAAAAAAAATTGGTAAGATCCTACCCAATATGTTTAATAATAGTCAATAATATTTTTAAACAATGCAGTTAATAATTTTTAAAATAAAGTTTAAAGATAATAATACAGAATAGCTTTTAATTCAATTTACCACTGTCATTAAAGTCACAATATTGTATCTCCGTAACCTCCTAATCATTAGGCATTTTCAGGATATTATTTTATAGAAAAGCTCAGTAAAGGAAATTTTTTATTTAGTAATTTTGTTATTTTTTTCTCTTTTCTCGGATTAAATTTAATAATTTAAACAAATGTATAAACCGTACAAAATGGTGATTTGTTAACTTGGTAATTTGGTTCAAAATATTTGTATTTAAAGAGAAAACAAATCTTGTTATGACAAATAATGAGTATGTGATTTGTTAATTTCTAATAGTTGAAATTAGAAATTTTTTTTTTATATGATTCACTAGCAGCTCTATAACTGATTTTGGAAAGACTAGGCTAACTTACACCTAGTTTAAAAAGTAAAAGCTTTTTCTCACAATACATGATTTTTTGGATGACTTTTATTTTAGCCTCACTTTTGATTACAGTTAAGTTAAAATAAGTTTTCCTGTGTGACTCAAACCTAAGAACTAAATTAGAATATCAAATCAGTTTTTAATTGTTATATCAGTTTATAAAAATTTCGATATTCAATACCAAAAATTGCAATAATTTATTCGAATAACACGAAAAGCAGTATTAAGGATAGTTAAAAAGAGCACTTAGACACAATAATACAACCTCTTCGTTTTTTGTGATTTCAAACAACAATAATATTGAATGAGTTCCAATAAAAAAATATTAAATAAAAATAAAAATAGCTTTTTGCCTTTAGTCAATAAAATTAAATGAGTTCAAAGCTCAGAATGATCAAAACTCCTCGCTTATTCTATTTTAGTTTAATGTTGAAAAAGTTTATAAAATAAAATAATCAAAATTCTTTGCTTTTGGGTAGTATTATTTTAATATTAAATGAGTTCAAATAATAAATTAATCAAAATAATCAATTACTTCACAATTTTCTAAGCACTTTGATAAACATTATTGAGATCAGACGATCAGACGAACAATATCGAAAGTAGGAATAAATCAAGTCCTAATAGAGACCGGGACTTGCACCGCAAGTCCTCAATCCATCCTCTCTTTTATTTAAGAAGCGTCCCCGATTGATAAGCAGGTAAAAGATAAGATGAAAAGCGAAAGTGGGTAAAGCTTTTGTTTTAAAACTTCTGCCGTTTGATATGCAATTTCCACCGTTTGTCTTTTTCAAAAGCTTTGGAAACAATAAGCTTCGTTAATTCAGACGTCAATCCTTACCCCGGGTGGGGTCTCTTTTTTAAAAACAAATTAGTGGCAGATTTTCGAGTAACTTTTACCCGTTCGCCCGATCAGAAAAGAGGAAAAGATATCGCCTCGAATCCCCTATCTGTTAATTATCAGTCGTTCGTTTTTCATCTCAGGTTAATTTGTTTTTGTGCGCTTTGTTTTCGAATTGTCTCGCTTCGGATGCCAACCTCCAGAGATAAATGATATTTTCTAAAGTAAATTTGCTGTTGAATACTTAATCCCAGTTCAGATCGTTTGGAATTCTTAAAATGCAGACGATTTTTAGAAAATAGGAAAGTAAAGTGTAAGAAAGTTTTTAGACAAAAACTATTGTTAATTAAAAGAAACTTAATTACATTTATTAAATATTAAAATTTCAGATTAAATTTTATCTCAGAATAGTTTAATAAGGAGTTAAATGGTAGTTTCTTAAGCAAAAGTATCGAAATTTTTTTGGAATAATACCTGGTGAGATCATTTTTAGAGTTCTTAAAAGCAGACGATTTTTAGAAAAGGAAAATTTTGAAAGATGATTTTTAAGAAGATCCGAAATGGCAATCGAATTTATGACAGTTTTTTTTAAAATATTTTCTAGGTGATAAACTTCAACCTCAATATGCATAAAATTTTCTTCAGTTATGACCATGCTTTTGCACTTTAAAATTTTCTACTGTTTCATAGTTTACATTATTTTTGACGTTAAACAGCCGGTCAACTTAACCGATGAAATGCGCTTAATGTTTAACTCCATAATCTCTCAAATTTGAATCCAGTTAAAAGAGAAAAAATGAATTCTTGAGTCATTTGGTCATCCTGATTACAATGACTCAAAGACATTCAACTCATATAATAAAATTCAAACTCATATAATAAAATAAGCTTGCATATTTAGTGTACATTTCAGAAAATTAATGTTTATTTATTTGAGTGTAAAAATATTTATGAACACTAATGAAAAAAAAAGTTTCGAAGCAACTTGTTTTTATTCATTTATGATTTTTTTTAAATATATAACAACGATTGTATTTATCATTTATATAATTTTAAATTAAATAAACATTCAGAGCTAAAATGAACAGTAAGCAGTTGATAACACAGTTTTTACAAACAATATTTTCAAGTACTAAACATGAATAATGGAAATATGTTTTAAACGAAACCAAAAGTAAAAATCTCCCTATTTTTAAAATGTTTCCAACAGTTTTTCTCTTCCTCTTTCTTTTGAAAAGAAATATGCTCCGGGTTTTTCTATCTATTTTTACGAGGTTAATTTTCGAGGAAACTTTTTTCATATCCTATTTCTTCTGAATTCACTCTCATTTCTAGGGTATTATAAAGAAACATTCGTTTAAATTAAAAGTGCTTATTTCCCGTAACCCTTTCCGAAATGCATATTCATTAGCGAACATGGGTCTCGAAGTACGGACCAAAAGGCAAAAGGCGCTCAGATTTTGAATAATAATTATTCCCCCTCGCCCCCACACACCCTATGTATACATGTATGAGCAAAACGTCTTTAAATTCCCTTTTGGCCAAATTAAAGGCCCTGGAAAGTCTAGAATAGGCACCAGAGGCCGTGATTATCTTTTAGATACGATATGAAGAATTTAAATCTTATCTCTAACTTTTTTTTTTCTGGCGCTGATTCATTATTTAAAAGTACTTCTCCCCCATGCAAACGCTTTTTTTGACTGTTTCTTTCTGCATTCTTAATTCGATATTTTATTTTTCATCTCTTTTTCTCCCTTTTGCATAATCTTAATTTTTTTTCCGTGCTTACTGGATAATATGTTGCGCTCTTTTTAACACTTCTCACTGTTTAATTACTTATAAGGGGTTGGGGGGGGAGGAGGGAATAAATGAATGAAGTGAATTAAAAAGAGAAATGTCGTACGAATATTCATGTGCATGCGCTTCGGGTTTTATCTTCATTTGTCAAAAAAAAAAAGTATGG